AAAAATTCCCCAAATTTGGAAAAATCTTTAAGGTCCTGGAAGGTCACGAAAACAGCGCAAAAAGGTCCTGGGAGATGCATAAAAATGATTTAAAAAAAAAAAAAAACAAACAAAAAAATTGGAAAAAAAATCCCCAAAAAATTAAAAATAAAAATCCCAAAAATTAAAAAAAAAAAACCAAAATGTCTTTAAGGTCCTGGAAGGTCACAAAAACAACTCAAAAAGGTCCTGGGAGATGCATAAAAATGGCAAAAAAAAATCACAAAAAAATTTAAAAAAAATTAAAAAAAATTCTCAAGATCTGTGAACGCCTTTAGGGTCCTGGAAGGTCACAAAAACACCTCAAAAAAGTCCTGGAAGATGCATAAAAAAACCCAAAAAACCTCGGAAAAAATCGGAAAAAATTCCCAAAAATTCCCACGAGCTCTGATGGCCTTTAGGGTCCTGGAAGGTCACAAAAACGGCTCCAAAAGGTCCTGGAAGAAGCATAAAAATGGGGAAAAAAACACAAAAAAAATCTGAAAAAATTAAAAAAAAAATTCCTAAAAATTTCTAAGATCTCTAAACCACTGCAGGGTCCTGGAAGGTCACAAAAACCACCCTCAAAAAGGTCCTGGAAGATGCACAAAAAAGGTCAAAAGAATTTAAAAAATCATAAAGAAAATTAAAAAGAATTCCCAAGATCTGTGAACGTCTCGAGGGTCCTGGAAGGTCACAAAAGGGCTCAAAAAGGTCCTGGAAGATGCATTAAAAAAACCCCAAAAAACCTCGGAAAAAATCGGAAAAAAATCCCAAAAATTCCCGCGAGCTCTAAACGCCTTTAGGGTCCTGGAAGGTCACAGAAACGGCTGAAAAAGGTCCTGGAAGATGCATAAAAATGGGAAAAATCGTGAAAAAAATCCTAAAAAAATTCTTAAAAATTCTCAGTATTTGTGAACGTCTTGAGGGTCCCGGAAGATCACAAAAACACTGCAGAAAGGTCCTGGAAGATGCATAAAATCGGCAAAAAAATGCGCAAAAAAATCGGAAAAAATTCCCCAAAAAAAAAACACCCCCAAAAGTCTTTAAGGTCCTCGAAGGTCACAGAAACACTAAAAACGGCTCAAAAAGGTCTTGGAAGATCAATAAAAATGGCAAAAAAATAATTTAAAAAAATTTAAAAAAAATTTTAAAAAATTCCCATTATCTCTGAACGTCTCGAGGGTCCTGGAAGGTCACAAAAACACCTCAAAAAGGTCCTGGAAGATGCATAAAAACGCCGAAAAAACTTGAAAAAAATCGGAAAAAAATCGGAAAAAAATTCCTAAACGTTCACAAATCTCTTGCCAGTCTTTAGGGTCCTGGAAGGTCACAAAAACGTCTGAAAAAGGTCCTGGAAGATGCATAAAAACGGCAAAAATCATGAAAAAAATCCTAAAAAAATTTAAAAACATTCCCACGATCTCTGAACGTCTTGAGGGTCCTGGACGGTCCGAAAAGGGCTCAAAGAGGTCCTGGAAGATGCATAAAAACCCCCAAAAAACCCGAAAAAAATCGGAAAAAAATTCCCAAACGTTCACGAAACTCTTGACAGTGTTTAGGGTCCTGGAAGGTCACAAAGATACCTCAAAAAGGTCCTGGAAGATGCATAAAAACGGCGAAAAAAACCGAAAAAAATCGGAAAAAATTCCCAAAAATTCCCAAGATCTCTGAGCATCCTCAGGGTCCTGGAAGGTCACAAAAATAGGTCACGGAAAGGTCCTGGAAGATGCATAAAAACGGCAAAAATCGTGAAAAAAATCCTAAAAAAATTTAAAAATATTCCCAAGACCTCTGAACGTCTTGAGGGTCCTGGACGGTCCGAAAAGGGCTCAAAAAGGTCCTGGAAGATGCATAAAAACCCCCCAAAAACTCGAAAAAAATCGGAAAAAAATCGGAAAAAAATTCCTAAACGTTCACAAAACTCTTGACAG